AATGGAAGGATTGATTAAGTTGACGGAGATTCTTTAACCCTTCGAATGTGGAGTAAACTGTTCTTCCCTGTATAAGTAGCAAATCGTAAGAGGGCGGGGTTGGGTTTCCCGGTTGTTCCTCCGACGATCAAGTCATTGGTTTGCTTGAGTGGAGAGGTGAAATAAACTATAGTAACTCTTAAGCCCAGTGAGTAGTGGTAAAGATCTTACCTTGTTATTAAAAATAGTATTCCTATATACTCTTCTATACTTATAGCAGGATCCGAATAATCATTGTTCATGCTATAGTAAATACTATAGCAAATTACTGTAGCATAAACAGTAAGGCAGATCCGCAGTCGAAGTTACTGTTTATGCTACAATAATTTACTATAGCATAAACAATAAATTAGATCTGAGCCTCTATGCTTGAAACTACTATTCACTCTATAGTAATTTATTATATTATAAATAGTAAAGCAAATTAAATATATTAAAACGTCGATTCTCCTTCAAGTATACATGAGTAGATATGATTTCTAAATCACATGTATTAAAACTTAGATTATTCTTTAAGGCCCCGTTTGGCAAAGGGTTAATGAAGAGGGGTTAAAGAGAATGATTAATGTACTTAGCCCATTGGGTTAATGAAGAGGGGTTAAAGAGAATGATTAATGTACTTAGCCCATTTGATAATCCGAAGGACTAAATTATTAACCCGTTAAATAAGTTTTATTTTAGCCCTTATGATCAGTTTTAGTGTTTGAGAATAACAATGATTTTGACTATTTTCTTTATAATTAGAAGGGTTAACTCTTATTCCATCTAAATAGGAGTATTAGTAAACCCCTCATTTTGAGGGGTTAACTCATTTTAACCTCTCTAGAGCGGTTAACTTAATCCTTCTATATTTTTTATGTTTGGCAAATTATGGAGGGTTAACTCACTTTAACCCTTATATAGATTTGTTGTGTTTGACAGGTTAAGAAGGGTTAAGTCTCCTTAACCCCTCTCTTAACCCTTTGCCAAACGGTACCCAAGTATTTAGGAGTAGATATGATTTCTACTTTTAAGCGTACAATAATTAATCAAATGTGTTAAAACTTAGAGAAAAATAAGTTCAAAATGTGATGCTTAAAAAAAGGGAATCGTGCTTTGCACGAGGTGCACACTAGTTTATAGTGGTGGTAGAATGGTAGAATGGTAATTTCGACTGAATATGGGATGATGGTCACTTCAGTCTTTGCTTTACATGTGTCGGCCGACGAGTGGAGGAGGTATCACTTCAGTATTTAATGCGAAGTGATTGGGGGTGTCTGGTGCCGACGTGGTCCGATGTGTCATAAAGACTATTGAGGGCAGATGAATGATGACACCCATAATGCATTTAATAGCATTTGTTGCGAGGTGATTGGTTGCCAGTGCATGGGAGGGGGATGGAGGCATTTCGTCGCCTTTTTACTCGCCCGGTGGTCGAGAAATATCACCTTTTGCGTCGCCTCTGTAAGATGTCGGCCTACTAGTCGGTCAAGTGGGGCGATTAAACAGTCGACTCAGCTTGGGGCCGACACGTGACGCCTTTTGAGTCATCTTCACAAGATGTCAGTGTGTCGACTCAACCGGATTGGGCCTTTGGTTATCTTAAAGAGCTGGCTCGATTACGCATAATGTGGGACACTTATCCGCCATTGATTGGAAATTATTTTTCATCACTAAAATAACTATATAACACACACATATATATAGATGGTCATCTTTTAAACAAATAGTTCTTAATTGCTTCCAAATAAATTTGTTTAGACATACCTCGACATTGAATATAATATTTTTGCCCTCTCAAATGTTGCCTTTCTTGGTCTTGGTTAAGGTGTTTAAACTATCTCAAATAAATTTTTTCTCAGGAAACAGGAACATACTGCATAAAATAGATTGCATAAGTTTGAAAGATTAGAACTTGCTCACAATTTCTAGGAAACTGTCCTCAACCAAATTTTTGTAATGAACTTGACTTGAGGAGGTTCAAGAGGATAGCGATAAGCAGATAGTGTATATATACGCATATCACAGTTAAACAATTTCAAAAGAATAAGCAAAAATAAACATGACGAATTTAGCTTAAAAATATTAATAAATAAAAAAATTTGTATTATTTACTTTAACATAGATAAGTCATTTACTGCCTACGATATCGTAGACGTATCGTTCTGTACAGAATAGACTATCCTAAAAAGCCAAAAGACAATTCATCTTAACAATATGATAGTTGAAATGTAACAGAACAATATGATGGGTTGAAAATTTACAAAAATAAAGCATTTAGCATAAATTATTAGCTTAACAAAAACCATCAATTGGCTAGAATGAAACACAGTGCGTGTAATTATTCTTGTTAATAGCTAGGCCAAATGGAAATTTCTATAACTTCACATTCTCCCATCAATGATTAACTAGTTTGCGGTCCGTGCAAAGCATGACGATAAATTTTTTCATGCTACAGCAATCATGTTTCTAAGATACTAAGATTTTGAATTGCTACAGTATCTTACATTTAAAAAATGCTACAGTGTTCCCGTGTGCTACAGTAATAACGTTACTGTTCATAAAAGCAATCATAAGCCCAAGTATTGCTATAGAATCTCGCATTTTTTTGAAATTGCTACAGTATCCCAGTGTGTTACAGTAATAATAGTACTGTTCTTACTATATTGATTATTATATTGTTGAATTTACTGTAGCATGAATAGGAATTTTCTGATCCTCCTATTTGTATAAAGGAATATACGTGAACTGTCAAGATCCTTAAGCTACGACATAATAAAGAATGCACATAAACAAAAGAACAATTTTTCACTGTAGACCCAAACAGATTTTTTATTACCAAAATCGACCGAATTTTTTTTTAATTACCAAAATCGACCCGTTTTATGCCACATAAGCGTAATCCCATTTCCTAATTAGTCGGGGTTGCCAACCCCGACTGTTTAGGAGTTGTTAAACCCCAATTAGAAGCCTTAAACCTGATTTAATTAGGGTTTAACAACTCCTAAACAGTCGGGGTTGGCAACCCCGACTAATTAGGAAATGGGATTACGCTTATGTGGCATAAAACGGGTCGATTTTGGTAATTAAAAAAAAAATCGGTCGATTTTGATAATAAAAACTCAGTTTGGGTCTACAGTGAAAAATTGTTCTAAACAAAACTATGTATATAGAAAGCGCCAATGATACTGTGATCAGCTATGTCCATCATCACAAAGATACGTGATTAGTAACTCATTCTGATTGCTAACCATCATAAAATTAACCACCCTACGAAATTAACCATATTGCAACTTCAAAAACTCTCGTCCAAAACTATGCAACTAATACGAGTTATGACTTGAAAAGAATATTCCAAAAAGAAATCCAAGAATTTGGTGCCTTTTGCATGTTATATACAATAAAGAATACTAACGGTTAAAACTTACTATAACTTCAGAATTTGAATACAGGCTCTAAAGGGATTCGGATCCTCTCCACTAAAAAAACAGTGGAGAGACAACTACTCTATCGTAATTATCGATATCTATTTAATGGTTAAGATTATTTCTTTGAGTGCAAATTAAGAATGAGTACAATTCATGAAGTATGATGAGTGCTAGATTTAGAAAAATATCAAATATGCACTAGATGATCAATGGTTATTATAAAAAATAGTGGCTCTCGACAACTTTCTGAAAGTGGAGAGAATCCAAATCCGCCCTAAAGTTCATGTGTTTCATTTTACGAAGCCCAATCATCGTAAATATTCACACATATATTCAAAATTTTGGTACAAGGGAAGAGATCTTAAGACGACAGAACTTACATGGAAGCCTAATATAGAGCTCGAAAACCCCACCCTCGTGCAGAGTGCTAGTGCAGCCCACGATGGTGCCCGTGAGGCGGGAGAGATGATCATCGCCTTCCCCGTGATGCCTCAACCCGACGGCGAGAATGAAAGACTCCAGTTCTCCCTGAATATTCCTCTGAAGCTAAGAGTACAGGGAAGTTGTATATGTAGGCGCTTCTAATTATTATTCATCTTCTAGTTCAAGTTTACTAAAAGAAGGGGAAATGTAGCAAATTAATGCTCTTCTTGGTTTACCTTTTCACGTTATAGGAAATTTTGAGCTTGTAAGCAAGAGGGTAGGTAAGCATACAACTATGAATACAAGGGTGCATGCACTGTAAAGGACAATAACGATTCATGTAAGATCCAAGTAAAATGTGTCACAGTATCAAAAAAGCACTAGCGCACAGAGTTATTCGCAATTGTGTCACAGTATCAATTCCCGGCCAAAATAAATAACTGAGGAAACAGATGTCATGAATTGCATATCTATCTATGCTTCTCACCCAAAGATAAACATATGAATGTTATAATGCAACAATCAACTCCTCTATACAAATGGGAGAACCAAGGTTCACAATTCATGATACAGTAAATACTACAGTAACATTGACCGTGGCATTACGAAGCTGGACAGTGATTCCTTTGGAAAAATATTACTGTAGCACACGGGATACTGTAGCAAACAGGCTACCGTAACAAATTTAAAAAATTTAAGAAAACTACGGCAGTTAAACCGAGATTAGTGTAGCGGAAAAAAAAATGCCGTGCATAGCGTTCACTAGTATATTTAATAGGAATGAAAAATTGTTTCAGCATCATTAATATAAGAAGTTAAATTGCCAGATAGAGCACCTGTAATATAGCTGTTTCGAACTCACCAGCTATATTTTTATTGTTGCAAGTAGACACCATGAGTGAATTTTTTTTCTCCCACAGAAGAAATAGAAATTTGTTTTTCAACAAATAGACCCTTAATAAGAGGATATGAGAGTCATAAAAATCGCTCAGGGAATGTACCTGCAACAATAACACTAGATGGGTAATAAATTAAAAAGAACAATAGCACAGAGGGATCTATACTTGATTCAAAAGGCTTGTTATGGATCTTTAATTTGCTAAAAACGGTCATTTTTGTAGCCTCAGGATCTAGATCAAAATCAGGGTTTTCCTGATGGCACATAATAGGATTTCAACAGTAAATAACCATAACCAAGACATGAATTGCCAGGGGTCTACAGGAGGCACAAATTGCAGTTTGATAAGATAAAAATCCTGCAAATTATAGAATTGATGGGAATATAATCTCAGGAAAAAAAACTAAGAATCCCATAACCGAGTCCAAAATCTCTGTAACAGAAGAAACAAATTTCCTATCTGATAAAGCTCTTGGTGCTGCGACTTAAGAAGAATCACCACTGCGCAATGCCTGACCTTTATTTGGTTTCCTTGTAGCCAATTGAGTTTCAGCCTGCATAATCGATACCCAATAAGAATAGTTGACATATGAGCAACATACAGTTGAAAGTCAAGGCACTAATATTCAATGTTACTGTTATCATATAAAATGGCTTTAGAATTTAAGTCAATATGAAACATTTCCTTAAAATTTTCGCACCTTGGTAACAAACTAGGATAAAGCATTCACATAAAAGTAGGGATACAAACAAATTACCTCTTTCTTAACTGGTTCTTCCTTCTCTGACAAAATCAGCTCAATGTGACAGGGTGACGACATGTAAGCTGTCATGTTATAACTTATCTTTAGCCTTTAATAGATACACCAAAAACCATAAATTCAGGTAAAAGGACGTTAGACATACGATTGATCCTTCCATGAGCTCGGTAAGTTCTGCGCCTCTGTTTCTGGGCTTGGTTCACCTGAATGTGGGAGACAAATAGTGCATCCACATCTAGACCTTTCACCTAAAGCATGAGTACAAGGTAAAAATCCATATTAAATATAGGCTTAGCTGCGGATTGACCACCTGTACTACTGCCAAATCTTTTTGACTCTAACCCTCATGAGTTGTGTTTGTCAAAGAGCAATTATCTCTCTGAGGGTAAAAGAGACAAAAAATCGCACAGGGAGTCTATCTGCAACAATAGAACTACGAGGGGATCTATCTTCACTTGGGTAATAGTAAGGGTATACGCAATGAACACTTAAGGGATAGAAAATAGCTAACATACATCTGCATTGCTCTCAGCATTCTTAAGCAAGTCAAGAATGAACCGAGCAGATTTCATTGGCCAACGCCCTTGACCGTTTGAGTGACGATTCTTAGCTTGGGCGGTACGACCAACACCACCACAATACCTTCGGAAGGGGATAGCTTGCTTGTGAGCAATAACATCCTCGAGATACCTTTTAGCCTTGGTCAAAGGCATCTTCCTTAGTGCAAAAGCAGTTTCCCTAGTGTTCTGCACAAAGGAAAGCAAGTGTAAATGAGCACATGAGAACAAGCAAAAACCGTAGACTTAAGAATCTAGAATATACTTGTAGAGTCCTTATGTTAATCAATGAACTACTGAGAGAAACCACAAACATTTTATAGCAATAGCAAGTTTAAGTTCATTACTTTTCACACTGCAATTACAACTAGCAGACTGCAACACAATGGCTATGTACTATGTGAGATGGTATTTCTGCAAACTCTGAATGCATAATTGACCGTAGTTCTTCATCACTACCTAATATATAATTGACCACAGTTCTTCATGCACTCCTAATTATATAAAGAGAATAATGGTATTCATATGACATATGAGGAGATTCTCTCATAAACAGCGATGTGGCTGAATCTCAGTCAAGTGAATAAAGTGAAGTTTTTTTTCGATTACTTAACCCACGCCAGATCACTTGGTTGAGATTCAACACATATCAATGTATATGAACGCATATGTCATATGTTACTCACTATTCTCCTACACAAGCTATATCTACAATTAATATTTCTAAAGATCACAAAGAGCTTATTGACATGCATAACCCCTTGTTTTCCTTTTCAAGTTATCTAATGTAATTTTGATCTAAGGTTCAGCACAATGCACTGCTGTCATAAGCATATTAGGTTTTCCAAGACGATTTATCAAAAGCATATTTGGTTTTCCAAGATGATTTATTGGAAAAAGCTCCTCACTGATATTATCCCCCAATGAGCATATTGTGTTTAAATATCGCAATCTCTCACTTCCCTTGATCATATTTGTTTGATGCTAAATCAAACTAAAAACATTAAGAGTCACAAGTCACATATAATTTGTTTGGTCCTCTAGAAATAGAGAATAATGGTTAAAGAAAACGCGATAGCTAGGAGAAAAAAATGGAGAATGAATGTGAAAAGATGACAAAATAAAAGTCCAACAGTTAATTTTGACCAGATTGTAGACGAAAAGTAAACAAAAAAATGAAGCACAAACAAAAGTCACCAAATTAATCATGGTTCAGCAAGCTGCTGGCATCAACATGGCACAGAACACTAGTTCCATTCTAATAAAAAGAGAGAGCTCATGTTAAAAAAAAGGAGCTGAGATACAGAGAGAAAGCCGTGTAACGTAACACATAACTCACAAAGCATCATAAACATCTAATGTAACAATAAGCTCAGTACTCCTATAAACTAGAGTATGGTAACTCTACCTGACAATCTACAATGAACTATCCTAGTCATGAATCCACTAAAAATAAGTATTGCGAGCCTCAACCATAATTTCTCAATCACGAATACACATCTGATATATTAAAGGCTAGTAATAAATGTTAGGATGCGTGAAACATGTGTTGCCCACAAATTCAGTAAGACTGGTCTAATCTGGCACCATTCTTCCACTAGAGCATCTTTCTTTAAAATGTAATATAGATTATCAAAGGCAACATCCCTCGTTTTATTTTCTGAGGTAAATAGATGTGAACATGCTTGTAACTAGACACAAGAGAGGCTAACAAATTTTCACATCAAGTGCATACCAAACTAAATGGACAAATTTCCATAAATACCACAATGATAATATCATACACAGCTAGCAGATGCAGCATGCCACCAACGAAAGACACTGAAGCGGGCATACATAGATTTCTAGGACTCTAAATTTCTCCCGAGGAACCAAGTAATCAGCTAAATAAAAGACTCCAAATACCGTGGCTACGAAATTCATTTTACATCTACTCTAGACTTAGCATTTGTCATGGAGAAAGGGCTTCCTACCAAGGAGAATTCAAATTTTAATCTTTAGTACAGTTTATGCTACAAACTCAAATAAAAAAACCCACAAAAAAAAAAGATTTTGCACGTCCTTAACTCCATGTATTAGCAAAATACTTTCTTATTAGATTACAATTCTATGCTTTAATGAAATGAAACTGATGCTAAAAATAATTCCCGACCCTAAATGAACCATAAAATGCTTTTTTTAAATCTACCTTGAAATGGACCCTCAAGTCCCGACCCATTGCCTTGGATGCTGCAAACGAAAAATTAAATCATTAAAAAAAATTAAAATTAAATACGGGGGCAAATTTTAAGGATTTAGCTCAAGATCTTACACTTAGTAGGATTGTTGGGTTCTGTTGAGTACTTCACCTGAAGATGAAAATCAAGCAGAAGAGAGAAAATATATTAGGATCTAATCATAAAGAAATGCAATCAAAGATGAGATTTTTAAAAGAAAAAAAAAAATAAAAACTTAAAACTTTTACCATTGTTGCCGGAGATTTTAGGTACCCAACGAGGAGAGCCGCCCAGTGAAACAAACGAGAGGGATTTATATCTAAAACCCTAGCTCTTAATGGGCCGGAATTTGGGAAGCGTCAGCCCATTAGTTGAATAAGTCAAACCTGGGGGACCCCACGTCAGCCTTTAATATTTTGAAATTAGTCCCTTTGAATCATTAAAATTGTTAGGCCCCCCAATTCTTGCATCTTAACAATTAGTCTCTGACCGAAGGGATTAATTTTGAGACAAAGTATAATAATTGAGGAACCATGTGGCAATTTCAATGATTTGAGGGACTAATTTTTAACTACTTATAAGGGCAGGTTCGAGGTAGTAGTTCTAAAAAGAAGATTGCACTTATACACCCTAATGTTTTACAATTTTACACTTAAATACCTTTAATTATTCTAATATTATAATTTACACGTAGTCACATGATAGTTTTATAACTTTTTAATCCTTGATTTTCGTTAATTTACTGTTAAAAGTATCGTATTATATTTTAAGCCTACCCTAATAGAATAACCAAATAAAACTCTGGTAGTTTTAACATTAAATTTAACAAAAAAAATTTAAGAGGTGAAAAGTTCTAAATTTAGCATGTGATCACTGCATGATAATTTTCAAAAAAAAAAGTTCTCACATTTTCATAACAATTGAGGTTGTATAAGTAACAGAGTAAGGGGAAGATACAGGGTATTTAAGTGCAATTAAGTCTAAAAGCATCCGCCTTCTCACTAATAAAGAGGCTTGCCGTATGGGCTCGGCCCAAAACAGGCCTTCATTCGACCCCCACTCCCCGAATCAGCCTCGTCTCTCTACTCGAAAACCAAAAAAAAAAAAAAAAGTCCCAACTTTTCCACCCCCAAATTAATTACCTCCAAAGCCCTAATGTCCTCCAATTAGACACCTGGCTCCGTCGCTCCCACCGATCTAGGGTTAGGGTTTCAGTCCCCGGCCATGGCGTCCAGCAACAACAACAGCACCAACACCCCCACAAACCCTAACCAGCACCAGCTCCGAACCCTAGCCAACTCCCGCCTCGGGAACCCTAAGCTTCCCTCCCCTCCCTCAGCCCAACTCTCTCACCTCCGCCCCCCCTCAGCCGCGAGTCGCCTCCGCTTTCCAGACCCTGTTCCAGCAAACCCAGGTCCCAGTTCCAGTCCCCGATCGCCCAAACAACCCTTCGTCCTAAACCCTAACAAGCGCTTGCGCCCAGAAGCCCCCCCGGCCCGCCCGCAGCCCTCCCAGTCCACCCGGCCTCCCGGCCGCCGACGCAGCCTCCTCCTCTTCAAGGCCGCAAGAGCTCACCCGCTCCGCCGGCGCCCGCGCAAGAAGGCGGAAGGCTGCCCCGAGAAGGCAGATCCGCCGACCGGGTTCGCCCACGCCTCCTGCCCGAATCCGGCATCTCTACCCAGCTTCTTCGAGTTCGCAGTCCCGGTCGACGGCCGCCTTGGCGAGGAAGAAGATCCGATACTACAGGAGTTCGCTGAAGAACCCCGCCGACGCTGCAGAGACCGCTGAGGGGTTTTTACGGTGTTGCGAAACACGTTCGTGAATCAGGGAGAAGGGCGGTGGCCGGAGGCGGAAGGCAACGCGGAGCCGCCGTCTTGGTCGTTGAAGATCATTGGCCGGATTTTGGAGGACGGGGTTGACAGTGATCCGGCGACTGCAGTGCCTAAACCTAACCCGATGTATCCGAAGTTCTCGTCTTTTTTCAGAAGAGTTACGATCTCGCTGGACCCAGCGCTTTATCCGGAGAACCCGACTATAATTTGGGAGAATTCGAGGTCTCCTGCTCCGTTGGAGGGGTTTGAGATCAAGAGGAAAGGAGATAAAGAGTTTAGTGTGGGCATAAAGTTGGAAATGAACTATAATCCAGAGAAATTTAAGTTGTCTACGGCGTTAATGGAGCTTTTAGGGATTGAAGTTGATACTAGAGCTAGAATCATTGCAGGGATTTGGCATTATGTTAAGGCGAAGAAGCTGCAGAATCCAAGCGACCCAACTTTTTTCGCTTGTGACCCTCCTTTGAAAAAGGTGTTTGGAGATGATAAAATGAAGTTCTCGTTGGTTTCGCAAAAGATTTCGCAGCATTTGACGCCGCCACAGCCGATATTGTTGGAGCATAGGATTAGGCTAACGGGCAATGGGGCAGTTGGAAATGCTTGTTATGATGTACTTGTTGATGTTCCTTTCCCGTTACAGAAAGAGATGGCGATGTTTCTTTCTAATACCGAGAAGCACAAGGATATTGAGGCTTGTGATGAGGTCATATGTGCTTCGATTAAGAAGATTCATGAGCATCGGAGGAGGAGGGCGTTCTTTCTAGGGTTCAGTCAGTCGCCCGTTGAGTTTATAAATGCTTTGATCGCTTCCCAGAGTAAGGATTTGAAAAGCTTGGGGGTTGCTAGGGGAGGCAAGCGGCAATGGCTGAAAAGGAAGGGGGCGCGGTCTGATTTTCTATAACCAACCTTGGTATTTTCTCAATCACAACCTTTGCATGTTTTGTGTTGAGTTTTGGCTTATTTTCTTTACTTTGGGGGCTGTTTGGTTGAGTGGTTTTATAGAAAACTTTATAGAAAATGGCTGATAGTGGTAGTTTTGTAAATAAAACTTTTCTAGAGATTTCTATAAACTTTGTTTGGTTTAAAAAATTACATAACTATGAAGTACAGAAAAGTACTTCATCTTATAGAAATCAATTTTCGCTCAAAATGTGTAGAAACCACCCAGAAATCAGACGCATATATTAAAAATTAAAAAATTAATTAAGTACATCAGTACTCTTCCATGGGTATTGTTAGTAAGCTATTTTCTATAAAGTGACATCCAACCAAACAAAAGAAAAAGAAAACAACATATTTTCTATGAAGTTAGAAATTTTTTCATACTTTGAACCGAACAAAGAAATAGCAAAATATAAGAAATATGGTACTCTTTTGAGCTCTATAAATTTTTCCTACAAATTTTATAGAAATACAAGAAAATCAAATTTTGAGTACTTTTCTTTTTCCTCTTTTTTATAGAAATTGAACCAAACAGCCCCTTGGTCTTCCAAAGTTTACCCATTTTTTTACTTTGATACCAGTGTATTTTTTTAACACTCTGATAACTGAAGTTTCAATTCTATTTTACTTTGATACCCCCAACCAGATTTTGTAAGGTTTTCTATAAAACTTGTATTACAGTTAGGCCATTTATTACTCAGTTGCTAGGGATCCAATCAACCAAATGTCCCCATTAATAGTTGATGGGGGTATCAGGTGCTACGCACATGATATAAATTCAACAGAAAAATCTAAACAAATCTGGTTGGTAACAATTGTGAAATGATATTGAAACTTTTGGGGGGTATAAAGGAGCTTCTTAAATAAAAAATACTTTCAGGTATCAAAGTGAATTATAGGTAAAATTTGGGACTACCGAAGTGAATATAAGCCTTGAGTTTTGCTTGCATTTTAATAATGAAATGTTTTATTAATGGAAATGTACAGGGTTGAGGATGCTGTTATCCGTTACCTAAACCGTAAACCAGCAGGGGCTGCTGATGCACCTGGCAGCACATGAGTAGGATTTCTGTTGATCTTTTAGAAGCAGTAAAGTTTCGATGTTTATTTCCTCGTTGAGTTCCAGAAAAGGTGAATTAATTATCCATTGTTCTTCGTTATATATTTAGAACTTTTTTTTGGGCTTTTAGATGTAGTCAATGTAACTGTCAGCTATCTGCATCTCAAATGCTTGCAAATCTGTTTTCTAGATTTGCATTTGTTGTAACCAGATATGTTTTCATCTTTTTGCTTAACTATTGGGTGAACTGTGAGACAGCCATGTCTCATGATCTTTTCTATGGAAATTGAATGTATGCAAATAGCGAAGGATATGGCATGTAATGAACATAAATTTCATTGTTGTGAAATGTGTTTTACTTTTATACTATTAGAATAAAAACTTTGAGAATAACTCTAAAAGACGTGCAATTTGCATTGAATATTGCAGCACTTCTTGATCCTTAAATGTTTGTATGACAGTTTTTTCTTGGTGTTATAACGGCGTAACGTGGCTAATAATGTTCATATATTTTTTTCGTTTTAATACATCTCAATCACCAGACAATTGCCCCCTCTAATTTCACCTCATTTTTCGGTGCGTATGTCCGTCACAATTCTTAGTGCTTGTTATTCTGTTCTTTTGCCATTCAAGAATTTTATATTTAATTTGATTCCAGCAGTGTTGTTGCACCAATTTGTTTGGCTGTCATTCCGTTTTCTTTTCTTTTTATTATTGCAAAGTATCTCTTATGCAGTTTATTGGCAATAGGAAGCTAATATTGATTCAAAACTAGGGCCTAGCTGCAAAGCTGCCTATGTACCGAAAGTGACTATAGTATCCTGCGCCAGTGGGTGTTGCATTTGAAGGCACCAAAGGAGTAAGCAAAGGAGAAGGAAAGGGAAAAAAGAAAAAAGAAGGGATGAGGTTCTAAAAAAAGGGACTGGTAATGTAATGAAAAGAAAATAATTTTGACCAAGGTCTTAGTGGACAGCAAACAGCTTGTTTCAAGTTCTTGACCTGACCACAATCAACTTCACACTTGTAAGTAAAATAGATTTGGGTTTTTAATTCAAGTTACGCTTTGGTTTGTGGTACGTATAAATACTATCTATATTTCTTTGACTGGTATGTAGGGAATATGCTTGATCAGCATGGTACTTGCATGCTTGGTATCAACATATGCACCTAAGATTGTCCCCTAATTAAGTACACATTATTTGTATGCATGTTGACAAATAATGGACTTAAACATCTGATTAAACTAAACAAGCAAAAGTTCAAATTCCTAAATTTAAGCCTGTAATATTGTCCCAGAAACCAGAAAAGTCTACTGAAAATGTTAACAAGTAGCTACATCAAAAGAGAGCTCATTGAACCAATTTACGGTATTATTACTTTCTTTTAATTCTTGGATCATTTGTGAATCAGAACTGCACCATGAATGCACAAATTGCATTATACTTGTGAGATATGTCTCCTTAATTTTTTTTTTCTATTTATTAACTGGTTATTAGAGGATTATGAATCAGACATAAGCTCCGTGCACGCCCAAGTTGTACCAAAAATATGCTTTTATTTGGGATAGTATATGCTTATTTCGATTTGCAACTTTTTAAACTACCTTTTGATTTGGATGATTACAATTTTGCTTCGAATGATTTTTATAGCCGTTCCTAATGATCAATTTGTGAGATGATTTATACTCTTTGTCTAATGATTATTGAACATGTGGTTATATTCTGCTATCAAGTCCGAAAGTCTTTTGTAGAATTATCATATGAAATAAAATATAAGAGAGGTTATTAGTGTGTCAATTTTGCTACCAAGAGACGCACATAAAGAGTATCCAAATATTGATTTGATGAAGGGAATATGTTTTACTCTTTATATCAGAGGTAGGATGGTTCATGGTTGTCTCTGTGACTATGTTTTTTCTTTATGGTTTTATTGTGAAAGAGGAGGGGATTTGCTCAGTCCCAACTCCTAAGACATGACATGAGCACTCTCGTTGTAGGTATACGCTTTTAAGTTAGCAGTGTTCAACTTTGGGGCACTTATTGGAGGATACTTTTATGGACTTGGGAAACTTATATGACATTTGGAGGATTTATTTGAAAATAGAGTAATGTTTCGGCGGGCATGACTACGAGCATGAGATAGCATTGTACTCGGGTTGTCTAGAAAATGGACATTTTGTTTAAGTTTTTTATTTTTTATTTCCCATTGTTAGGAACTTAGGATCAATTTTTTTTTTCCAATGGCGGTTTCTCAGGTGGGAGGGTATTTTTGGAATTCTAAAATGAAGCCCACGGGATGAAAAGTTTATCTTTCATTAAATTGTGGTATATAGATAGATAGTTTATATTTGAAGTTAATGAGTGCATTCTAGATAGTTTGTGGGACGGTAGTTTGCCTAGTTCTTATTTTTGTAAAATCTTTTGTAATTGTTGATTCATGTGTAGAAGGTCATAGTTTCACTAATTGTTGTCCTTCTTAGTTCTGGTTTCCAAAAGTTTTTAATATAAATCATATTATATCATATCATATCATATCATATCATACTATTTTTAAAAGTACGAGTTTGCAAAAATCTTTTCATGGTCAATATTACGTTTATAACTTTTTTTGAATATTACATTGTTATCCTAATCTATTCTAATTATTCTATCTTCTTTGAATGGGTAATTAAATTATTTATTCTATTCATAATTAAACTTAACATGTTATTGGATAAAGTAGATACGTTTGGTATAATTCAATTTACAAAACTCGAGGCTTCTAAAATGTAAAAGTGCCAAGCATCAAACAAGTCACTTGCAAAGAAACCGAGAGAAGGATAGAGATAAGAATCTCCTATTTCTCTCCTATCACAGAAAAATAATATATTGAGAAGCAAAATATGTAAATTAAGCATGTTTATTCTAAATATATAGAGTCTTGTCAACGACCTTAAGAACAAGCAAACACACTGAGAAACTGCCACAGGCTCATAAGTCCGAACATGACCAACCTAAAAACAAACACAACCGAAGCATAAATTATTTCCATAACCATCTAGTCACTAAACACAAACAGAGCCACACGATCGACCGTTCTCGAGATCAATACAGGCGCCTGCAGATGGTGAGCCCATCGCCTACCGAGACCTGCGACATCTCGATGCGAGGATCACCTGCCAAGAACTTGTTGAGCTCGACCAAGGCCTCCCTGTCGAGCTTCTCCTGCGGAGAAAGGGGATCATCTTCATCCTCGTCCTCCTCCGTTGCTGCCACCGTCCCCATCCAGAGGGTGTTGTCGTACGCGATTGCTCCTCCGACCCTGACGAGCTTCAGCAGTCTCTCGTGGTACTCGCCGTAGTTTGGCTTGTCGGCGTCGACGAATGCAAAGTCATAGAGATCCTCGTCCTTCGGCTCCTGCATTATTGGATTAAGATTGCGAATGAATAAGGGTTAGTCGCGCATAGAGTTTCTGCAGTATCACCGTTTTGATCCTTTCTACCCTTTTAATTAGTTTCATTTTCTTTTTTTTTTGGCAGAAATACACTTCCGGTTTAATTTTTTTTTGACTCTTTTATTCTGGGTGAAGTTTTGATAGATACCCACTAGCTCTTAGAAATTAGCGAGTCCATGTGGGGGTAAAAAAGTAAACAATATTTAACGCAAGGGGTCTATATGCAAAAAAATGAAACCACATAAATTGTAAGCTCAACAAAACTATGCATTATGCAAGCAAATTCCTTTTAAGAATGGGAAAGTAAATAAAAAGTAAAAAGAGAAGAGAGAGTAATCGGTCACGATTTTGAAGAGAAAGTAGTTCGTCACGATTTTCTGTGTGTAAATCAAATGACGGAAAACGAGAAAAAAAGGAAAAGTTGAGATTACGGTTGTTGTGATCGATCAGTTTTCTTTATTTTTACCGTTTGATTGTCAAAAAAGTACTTAAAAAAAAGGAAAGGGTAGAAACAAAAATAAAAGGTAGTTTTATCTGTTATTTCAATTCACTTTTCATCCACTTTCTTCAAAATTTTAAGAATTGTAAAAAGTGATAAGAACCTACCGTGGAAAAAAAAATAGTGAAGCCACTTTTCAATTTCGACAAGGTTGTAAAATACATCAAAATCTCAACAAACTCATTTGGTCGGCTTTTTAATAATTCTAAGTGTGTCAAAAAAAAAAAAAAACCAAATTGTTCTTATATTTGGGTTGAAGAGCCTTACAACTGCAAGAATTGAAACTATATGATGGATGTGTTTTTTTTTGAACTGAAAAACAGGGTGAGATACTCTGTTCATAAGATATATTATATAAAGATATTTAAAAGAAGTCTAATACAAAAACGAAAACCAACAACAAAGCTGAGAGGTAAGAACACAGTAGGGAAGTTGGTAAGAAGCGGACCTAGTCGTCACCTACCGAACTAACACTAACAGTGTTCGCACCCAAGGCCAAAAGAAAAACACACTAGATACTATGTAGCATGATGGATGTGATAGGTCATCAATTGAAGAAAAACATCAAATCTTGTCTGTGTTAAGTCATCAATTGGGAAAAAAACATCAAATTCTGTCTTTTGCCCCGAAGATAGAGGCCCATTAATTTCAGATTTCTTTGACCCTGTAACCTTCATCATGTTATCTATTAGTAAGTTCGTCAAAGGGAAACTTTACGCACCAAGAAATTTAATGATTTTGCACAATTTCAACCACAAAATTTAGAGAGAGAGAGAGCATATCTTATTACCTCTTGAAGCATTTTATCAAGAACAGGCAGAGCTTCTGACTCGATGAAATCGATTTTATGCTCAACACCTGCTTTCTCAATGAACGGCAATCCTATCTCGTAGGTTGACTTATCACAATCAATGGCCGTTATCTACATTAAAAAAAAGGGGTTTTTGCTTTTAGACCCATTTGTTTACTCCCATTTATTTTTAAACCCAAGTACTATTATTTGTATCTTTAAGCCCAATTCACCTTTTGTATTTATCTTTAAACCCAAAACCACTTATTTTTATATTTTGAAGATTGGGTTTAAAAATAAATACAAAATGTGAATTGGGCTTAAAGATACAAATAATAGTACATGGGTTTAAAAATAAATGGGAGTAAACAAATGGGTCTAAAAGCAAAAACCCCTAAAAAAAATGTTACCAATATCAAACAAATTGTTACAGAAGTATCTTATGCATTAGGCTAATTAATCTAATGACAACATGTTCCTTGTATAGTCTATGGATTGAAATTATTAAGTGTGATTATTTGTTTTATAATATTAATCGTTATGTATTTGATTGTGTTCCTAGTTATGAGATTATACAGATTTTTTCAAATATGAAAATTTTCTGTGATAATTGTAAATTAGTTATTAATTATATAGTCACGTGGCTTTCCAAATAGCCTCTAGGTAAGTCATTGATTAAAGAGTAGTGCTAGGGGGACCCTAAATATGGGACATGGGGAGGAGACAGGTGAGGTGTTCCCTCCCCACTGATCGGGACACCTCATCATGCAGTGGAGAGGGGACACCTCACCTGTCCCCTTCCTCTATCTCATATTTAGGGTCCCCTAGCATTTCCCTTGATCAAAGGGATAAAAAATTGGAACCCGACCAATAAAATAAAAATCAATGGACGGAGCACTCAGTCCACTTAAAGTCATAGGACTTCTACTCTTAAAAAAAAAAAGTAAATTCATGCACCTGCCCATCCTTTGGCAAGGCCAAAGCAGTGGCGAGAAGAGAATAGCCAGTGAAAACCCCGATCTCTATTGTTTTCTTCGCATTCATGAGCTTCAGTAGCACAGAGAGGAGCTGGCCTTCTTCAGGGGGCACGCTCATCGCAGGATTCAAAGCCCTGCGAACTCAATATATAAGAGCCAAGAATAATTCTACATCTCTTATAAAATACGAATTTGGATCATCTCCACTATAAAAAAAATAAATAAATAGTGAAGATCGTTGATTACTTAATATGCGGTTATGATACAATCCAAATCTAACACTTTTCATACCCCGTGTATTGCGCTCATTAATTCCTAATTTGCACTAAAAGAAAAAAATTATAACCACCAACTAGATAATCAATGGTTGTGATTATGTAGTGGTCCCTCAATTACTTTTTAGATAGTGGAGAGTATCCGAATCCATAAAATACAGTCAAATTCAACAAGGAAGAAATAACATTAAGCATCTACAAAAACACCAAAAAAAAAATCTTGCCTGGAGTTCTTCATGGTCTCCTCTCTCAACTCCCTGAGTTGCTCGTGCTCTCTTGGGTACACACTTGTCTTCAGTATGTACTACAAAAAATTAGGGGGAAATAACAAATAATTTCATTATATTTGCAAATTGCACTATAAGAATAATTGAATAGAGAGGACTGACCTCATAGAGAGCATCACTTTGGAGGAGGTTCTTAGGGAAATACGCGCAATCTATCGAAGAACCCATTGAATAGAGAATCTCGATTCAATTGGTGAACCTCTGTTCTAGCTACCTTCTCTATTTATACTCTCACTGGATACGATATAATAAACTAGGTATTTTTTTTGCCACGTGGCAAAAATATATAACCAATAACAATAATAATTACTAATTAATAATCGATTTTCCTTTGGCAACACCTCACCTAAAACATTAACCGTTATCTAGTCAACTTTTCCACCGCTTTTCCTCCTCCGCTCTGTCTCCCCCTCCCATGCAAGAAACCGACACTTGCAATTCATTATTATTTATCCGCTCTAGAATTTTTGGTTGGCACTTTTAGCAAGATTTGCGACATTTGACTTCTTAAATCCAGTAGGTTAAATATATGCTTTGCTTGGGAAAAGAGATTTGGGCTTGAAGAGTAGATTTGAAATCAAAGAATTTTATGAATTTTATAAATCATTTGTTTGGGTACTTGCAATTGATCGAGTGGCACTAGGGGCACAATTCCAACCATAACTCCAACCACATCCTCTCTCTTTTGCTACAGTTCACCAGGCCCTACATGAGATTTTAAAAATTTAAAATATCATGTTAAGGGCCCGGTGAACTGTAGCAAAAGAGAGAGAGTGTGTGGTTAGAGTTGTGGTTGGGGGTCTGCCCCTATCATTTTCCCTTGCAATTTATTTCAAATATATGGTTTGGATTGTAGAAAAATAAAAGAATATTTCATGTAATCTATTTTCTCTTTCTCTATCCCGTTCCTCATCTTGTTGATTGCAATGAATTTCCACATTATAAGTTTTCTCAATTATTATTTTAATAATATTTTCAATTTGTAAATAACTGGGGGCAATAGCTAAGTACCCTTTAATGTTTTTTATATTGTTTATTTTTTTTTGTAATTCAAAAAATGATATTTCAAATTCAAGAAAAGTATAAAGGGTAAAAAGTTATGATAGATGGTATATTTTGATAGCATATTTGGATAACTTTTTGGTTTGAGGGAAAAGAGATAGACTATAAAAAGTCATGAAAAAGGTAAAAAAACACGATCATATCATCGATTTGTTAAATATTACTGTGAACTCACAAAACAACCATATTGAACCCATAAATATAGATTTAGAGATGTTGTACCCTAAAAATTGCTAAGTATACTAAACCTCCCTAAGGCTGACATGTGTCATGTTTAGCTGGTCTATCTCACCCTAGTCAGGGAACATGACCCAGACTTGCACACGACTGACCCAATTTTAGAAACAGATCCGAGACGAAAGGCGTTTTTGTTGGGGAATTTCACTCTCCCCGCCTACTACAATATGCGCAACTCTGAAGCCAACCCACAATCAACAAGATATAAAACGAACACAATCAAGAAAAGAAGAACATCGGGATTTACGTGGTTCGATCGACCAACTTTGACATACGTCCACGGGGCAACAATACGAGAAATTCACTATGTATCAGGGAGAACTACAATAGGAACCACTCAACTCTAGTCTCTCAATCTCTCAATCTCACATGCATAATCAACTCTCATATTCTCTCCAAAGTATTCTCCTTACAATCTTTTGCATGGACAAAGACTACGAAACCCTCACCTCTCACACAATATTCTTGAATCAGGCCACACCCTTTGCTAACCCTAGATTATAAGAATATTGACTCTCTCTCTCTCTACTACATCTTCTCTCTACTCTCTTCTTCTTAGTTTTTCCTCCAACATAAGAAGAATATATATGGGAAAACCAAAACTCTATCTCTAGCCTAACTTTCTAATTATAATAGGATTCAAACTCCTAATCATGATGGAACCCAAACTTCTAATCATGATAGATCTCTAACCCTATCTAATTCTCATAAAGTTCTATAAAGAATCAAAGACACAATCCCAACAATCTCCACATTGGATTTGATTCCCAAACTCCCTTGAAGATATATCATCATCGTCTTGAAATTTTACCTTTTCCGCTAGAGTCTTCTATTTCTTTCGCACTTCAAATTGAAGCAACCACACTTCTAATCAGAACACCTGCACTCCAACTGGTTGTCTCGTGTCCCTCACTATCATCTGCTTCACCATGGCGCCTCCACCTCTCTTGTGTGCACCAAGAGATCTTCGCCACCTCTGACAATAAAATCAAATCAATCATGCTTGTCCTCCTAACTTGAGCCTGGCAATAGTCTCCCCTTACTTGTTGTCCTTGTGCTCCACCTGCATCACTCGTCTCGAATCATATCAGTGAACCTCTCCTACTCCACACTACGAGCCGGATGCCTCTATCTCCTCTATCACTTGGCTTAGACCGAATATGAGCGCTCATCATCTTCAATTCCAATACCACCATCTCCATTACCCTGTGTGTCACTCAGTCATGCCAGCTTGAAAGCTCCATTTAATTTGGAACTGTCCTCCTCGAGTCTACACACCAACCAACTATTGCTCCCGCGATGACTTTGAATAATTATATGCTGACAACTCTACTGCTAGAATTACATTTGATTCTCTACGCTATTCTCATTTGTCACATACTCATTTGCCCTATCTGCCATCAGATCTGTCTTGCCATTGAATAGCGGAATATCGAACTTCGGACCCGAAGAAGTTATCATTCTCTAACAACGATCAAAATTAAAATCAGTCACTGTATAGATTGAATTTGATAAAACCAACACCAAAAATGAACTCAACATGTCGAAAAACCCTAGGAACGACTCCTGAATCACCAAAATCCGCCTTCAAATCCTTGATCAAAAGACAAATCAATCTCGACCGTTGGATCTGTGTGAACAATACCCACCGTGCCGCTACAGTATTCCTACTACAGTATCCAGCTACAGCTCTTGCCTGCTATAGTATGCCACTACTACAATAATTTTTTCCTTTTTCTTTTTCTTTTCATCTTGATTATTATAACATTGATCTTCAATCTTTACTTTTGTATGACGTCTATCTTGCAAACTCGCTCCCGGATCCATCATCATGGCTCTGATACCACTTGTTGGGGAATTTTACTCTCCCCGCCTACTATAATATGCGTAACTCCGAAGCCAATCCACAATCAACAAGATATAAAACGACCACAATCAAGAAAAAAGAATATCGGGATTTATGTGGTTCGGTCGACCAATTTTGACCTACGTCCACGGGGCAACAATACGAGAAATTCACTATGTATCAGAGAGAACTACAATAGGAACCACTCAACTCTCGTCTCTCAATCTCTCAATCTCACATACATAATCAACTCTCATATTCTCTCCAAAGCTTTCTCCTTACAGTTTTTTGCACGGACAAAGACTGTGAAACCCTCTCCCAATGATATAATCTTTTGCACGGACAAAGACCACAAAACTCTCGCCTCTCACACAATATTCTTGAATCAGGCTACGCCCTATGCTAACCCTAGATTACAAGAATATTGGTTCTCTCTCTTCTACATCTTTTCTCTACTCTCTTCTTCTTAGTTTTTCCTCCAACAATAGAAGACTATATATGGGGAAACCAAAACACTACCTTTAGCCTAACTTCCTAATTATAATAGGATTCGAACTCCTAATCATGATGGAACCAAAACTTCTAATCATGATAGATTTCTAACCCTATCTAATTCTCATGAAGTTCTACAAATAATCAAAGACACAATCCCAACAGTTTTCAGGTCGGTCTTCCAACTCGGTCCCAAGAAGAATAACGCTTCCAGGCTTGGATCAGCGGAATGTGTCCGAAAATTCTGAGATGAATGATGTTCCTCCCTCGGCTTCATTATGGAATGTATCGAAGGACGAGCTGACATGTCAGCTTCGTCAAGCCTAGCTACATAATCCTATCACCATCGCATTTAATATATGGCCAGAATCATTATTATCCCCCGCCGAAGTCATAATGACTCCTCGGACGACGCCAACACTTCAACTTTCCTATCATTGTCGCATTAAACGCAAGGGTGACTTGCCTGCTTTGTGACCGACACATGTAAAGAGCCACCTGATCAAACAACCCGTACCGACCCTGTCAAATTGCGAAATAGCTGCTCACATATTCTTATAAATAGGGCCGGGTCGATTCTTCTACATGAAGGTATGAACAATTTGAACTGGAGAATCTACTCAATGTATATATCTAACTTGAGCGTCGGAGGACCTATCTGAGAATCCAACTCTGATCCTTTAATGGTGTTACTATGTGTAGGAATCTTTGTTCACAGTTATAACCGGCCATCAAAAGGAATAAAGAGGCAGTAAACTCCCTCCTAGTCATAATTTATCTCCTAATTAGTTGACCGGCATCAGCAAGAGAGAACATATGTTGATAAATTCATACTTTAGGAAGGAAGTTAAGAGTTTACTAATACTTTTAGAGTGAAAGCAAACTATGTGTACTTCATAAATTTGTTGTATATGTTGTTTTTGATATATATGTCGCACCTTGGTGTATTCAAGTTTGAAGAAACTTAGAAAATGAACTTAATCATATATAATCAGGATTAATATGTTTACAATTATTAGTATTTCAATGAAATTAACACACTTGATATGTTGACGTTAGTACAACTTCAAAATTTTGATTCTGCAGCTTCTACTTAGATTATGCATCACATCCCTAGGATTCTGAGTTACAAACCATGAGGAAAATTCGAAATGAAATGAGGCTAAGCGACATCAAAAGTCTTGTATAAAAGCTTATTTATGCAAAAATGAGGAGATTGATCCAAAGCATTAAAACGAAGATAAATTTCACAAAGCGCTCAACACATGGGGGCATTAATTCCAAAAACTGAAAAGTAACTATACACTATCCAATTCTTTTTCTCCCTGCTTGGCGATTGACGAGCGAATGTAAATTAATTGAAATAAAAGGTATCATACTATCATATATGCATTAGTCATTAATTTTCACTTTCTCAAAAAAATTAAGAAATTGACGGAAAAAAGAGAGACAGCAGAATAGACAAATTAGACTTTTTTTTTAATCTTTCACGTATTAGTTTAGTTTTAACTGTCCATTTTATTACTTTTTATATATAAAATCCAATAAGATTTTGCTAACATATAAAGTGATAAAAAAATACTTTGCTGTGAAAGTACCTGTTTTTAAAACTTTCTATTTACTTTTATTCTTATCTGTAAGAGTAAAATTTTCTTCGATAGGATGTGGACTATCATGTATATTGGATTTCAATCATCATCTTCTTCTTCCATGTTATTGGAGTCACAATTCCATGATATTGCTAACATGACGACCTCATGGGAGGAGGGGAAAAAGAAATCATTTAATGGTTGCTTAAAATAGTTCAGTAAAATTTTTAGTAATATCTCTTAACAGGTATGATAACTTTGGTATATATATATATTTTTGTTTATTAGAATTTAGTTATATCTGCGGGATACTTTTTAGCAATCAGTTCTTTTAATATTGTTTAAAATTGATTAGTTATCCTAATGGGTGGTAAGGATGCATGTGCTCAAATTTTTGATGTGTTCTTATTTAATTTGGAAATTTGTCTAAATAGTTGCTCTCAACATGTTTGATATTTTGCTTCTTTACACAGGTTTAAGATTCATTTTTGTTAAAAAAAAAATCAGGAGTTAAATATTTGGATTTGTAAATTTTTATGTTTAATAAAGATAGCAATTGCTTTGTTTTATTTTTTTTTATTTTTTGGGGGCAAGGTATCTGACGTTTTTTTGCTTTATTAATGTTAATATAATTCCGGATATTTGGGAATGGGTACTACAAAACCTTGAGAAATTTCCAAAATCTTTTTTTTTAAATATTCGTCTGATTTTAATATTTAAGTTACCAAGGGAAAATTTCATATGAACAATTTCTGAATTAGTCGTAGTTTCATCTGCTATAAAATTTAATTTTATGGCACTTTTAATTTTAGAATTATTATGAGATGAGGGAGGCCTTTGGCCTCCCCCTCATTATCTCTCCATTCACACCCCATTATGGTGGTGTAACACCCCACTAAGTGGGGGTGACTCTTGGGTACTCAACCTATTCACATTGACTAGTATAAATATATATCATAGGCCTTTGGCCTATGGACGGGTTTCAAACACGTTATCGGCACGAAGTGTTTTTGAATCCCTGAGCCATAAAAAAAACTCTATAATAAGATACCTTGAACCCCAGACGGGTGACGCATTTAAGGCACGTCTTGATGATTGTGAATTTGTTGAGGATTCATTTCCTAAACTTGGCACACAGTCCAGGAAGCCTGACGCTTCTAAGACCATTTCTTGGAACACCAAGACTTTGTCTCATTATGATCCGCGTACTAGTCAATGTGAAGATGAGATCCTGAAGATTCTTCATCTTCAGAATACAGTACATTTACTTCCGGATAAATTCACTGATAACCAGAAGATTGTCAGATCACACGTCCTTGCTGTCAACACGCCAGCTAGGATTGACATCCCCAAAGATGGATGCAATCCGCCGGCAGTAGAAACGGCTGTACCTCAATTGAAAATAGGACGCCCACCAGGTTCGAAGGACAAAGTCCCTCGTAAAAGAAAAAATCCTGGAGAAATAAAGATGAACCCAACACAGGATACTGAGCTCAGACCAGCTTCCTCTCCCCTCCTAGATTCCCCTGAAGAGGAACAAATAGGAGAAACATCATTAAATTTTGTACGTACTGAGGAGGTACTGGACAGAAAAAACACAGTCATCGACGACGACTTTGCGTTCGATATTGCCGTTCACATCACTGAATACGACGATGACATCAAACCACAGTCTCTAGCGGAATGTAAACGCAGAGACGATTGGCCAAAGTGGAACGAGGCAATAGGAGTAGAGCTGGACTCACTCTTGAAACGCGAAGTCTTTGGACCAGTAGTCCAAACACCTGAAGGTGTAAAACCTGTGGGATATAAGTGGGTCTTCATCAGAAAAAGAAATGAACACAACGAGGTTGTGCGCTACAAAGCACGGCTTGTAGCACAAGGTTTTTCCCAAAGACCGGGAATAGACTATGAAAAAACATATTCTCCGGTTATGGATGCGAATACCTTCCGATTCCTAATAAGCCTCTCATCTCTGGAAGGCCTAGAAATGCAGCTCATGGACGTTGTGACTGCATATCTATATGGAAATATAGATAAAGATATCTATATGAAACTCCCTGAAGGATATAAAATTCCACCAGAGATAGCAGATAGACCTCAGGACGTCTATTTTGTTAGGCTTCAAAGATCATTATATGGTCTTAAGCAATCGAGGAAAATGTGGTATAACAGACTAAGTGAGTTCCTTGCTACGCAAGGATTCACAAATGATAAAGTCTGCCCGTGTATCTTTATAAAAAGATCGGGAACATGATTCATTATAGTCGCCGTCTATGTCGACGACTTAAATCTCATTGGATCTCCTGCAGAGATAGCTGGGATATCTGAAAGCCTTAAGAATACTTTTGAAATGAAAGACCTAGGCAAAACAAAGTATTGTCTTGGCTTACAGATCGAACACCTTAAGGGTGGTATCCTGTTACACCAATCCACATATACACGGAAATTACTTAAAAATTTCTGAATGGATAAATGTCATCCTCTTAGTACACCAATGGTTGTTCGATCATTGGATGTAAATAACGACCCCTTCCGTCCGCTGGAAGAGGGGGAGGAAATGCTAGGTCCTGAAGTACCTTACCTCAGTGCCATTGGAGCACTATTATATCTGGCTAACTGTACGCGTCCCAATATAGCGTTTTCAGTTAACCTACTAGCCAGATACAGTGCAGCGCCCACAAAGCACCACTGGAATGGAGTTAAGCATCTTCTGCGCTACCTCCAAGGATCTATAGACCTGGGATTATATTTCCCGAAGGGTGGGTCTCCCACCTTAATTGGTTATTCAGATGCAGGTTACAGGTCTGATCCCCACACCGAAAAATCACAAACCAGATTTGTGTTTATATTCGGTGGTACGGCCATCTCCTGGAGGTCTGTCAAGCAAACCACTGTAGCAATCTCATCCAACCATTCTGAACTCCTCGCGACCCATGAAACCAGCAAAGAATGTGTTTGGCTTCGTTCTGTCATTCAACACATCTTAGTGTCTACTGGCCTGAAGACTGGTGACCTTGAGCCAACTACTATATTTGAAGACAATGCAGCCTGCGTTGCTCAACTTCAGTCTGGCTTCATCAAGGGTGACAAGACGAAGCACATATCTCCTAAGTTTTTTTGGACGCACGATCTTCAAGAGGAGGAGCAAGTTAAAGTACAGCAGATCCAATCATGTAATAATTTATCTGACTTGTTCACTAAGGCTCTGCCTAGATGTACTTTTGTAAAACTTGTAAAAGGAATATGGATGAGACATCTGAAAGACCTACAAGCCTGAAGCTTGTATGGTTCAGGGGGAGTAACCTATGGGTTGTACTCTTTTTCCTTAGGTTGATGGTTTTTTTCCCACTGGGTTTTCCACAGCTAATGTTTTAACGAGGCAAACAAGTTTACTCTGGATCCAGAAGTATCCACCCCATTAGCTTTACGAACCCTGAAGTGTTCATAAGCTAAACCCAAGGTAATGGATGGATAAGGGGGAGTATTATGAGATGAGGGAGGCCTTTGGCCTCCCCCTCATTATCCCTCCATTCACACCCCATTATGGTGGTGTAACACCCCACTAAGTGGGGGTGACTCTTGGGTACTCAACCTATTCACATTGACTAGTATAAATATATATCATAGGCCTTTGGCCTATGGATGAGTTTCAAACAAGAATTCATATTAATGTGAATATATTTTTTCAATTATTGAAGGAATTGTTTATCATTTGTAAAATTAAGGTGTATGACGTCAAAAGCATCGGGGAGTGCCACAGCTATATTGATAAGTACAAAACGTAACACGCTTAGCACGGGTAAAATATTAGTATTGACTAATAAGAAAATACTTTGCTGTGAAAGTTCCTTCACTATTTTTAAATACTTTCTATTTACTTTAAACTTTCCAAACAATTTAGAAGAACAAAATTTTCTTGATCTATAAGGGTAAAATGTTTGGGTTTTTTTAAATATCAGTCCATTAATCTTAAAATGTTTGGGGAAAATGTAGTCTCTCAAGTCTTTGAATTACTCGTATATTTCTCTAATCTCTTGCAAATTAGTCTCTCAAATATCAAAATATCAATAAAAAAGCAAGGAGGGGGGAAAAACCAACCCTCTGCGTTCACATGAACAGGCTGTGGGATATATTTGCAAATGACCACAATGCAAACCTTCACAATTTGAGTGCATTAGCAATCCCGAACTTTTGTGGAACTAATATGTAATTATGCAATATTTGAGGGACTAATATCTAAAAAACTTTTAAGTAATGAGAATAGGGTTTTTCTAATGGTACCGATGGGCACTCGTTAGGAGATGAGAGAGACACAAAGAAATGAATAGCAAATAGGCTCCCTGACCTGCATAAATTTCTCTCCTTAATTACCTCTTCTCTCGCTCTCTCGTCTCTTAATGAGTGCCCAAGGGCACCCGTTAGACAAACCCATAAGAATAGAAGGTTAAACACAGACAAAATTCAAAATTCAAATTGATAGATCTCAAAGTTTAAAGAGAAATAATGGCAATTTTCACATTCAATTCACAAACTAGCGTAAGCTGACATCAAGCAAGAAATCACTCCAAACAAATTTGAAGTACATACGTACATACATATAACTCTTAGTGAACAAAGGACAACAGCACGGATCAACAAACGCGCCTGCAGACGGTGAGCCCGTCGGCTATCGGCACCTGCGATATCTCGATGCGGTGGTCAGCTGCCAAGAACTGGTTCAGCGCGATTGTTGCGTCCCTGCCGAGCCTTAAACGCAGAGGAAGGGACTCGTCCCCCGGTATTGCCACGGTCCCCATCCAGAGCGTGTTGTCGTAGGCGATCGCCCCTCCGACCCTGACGAGCTTCAGTAGTCGCTCGTGGTACTCGGCGTAGTTTGGCTTGTCGGCGTCGACAAATGCAAAGTCGTAGAGTTCTTCTTCTTTCATCTGCGGCGTAAATTTCAGCATCTAAAGCATTGTTCGGTTCACTGCTAACGTAATACAAAGTCGTAGGGATCTTCTCTCTTTAAGGACATTATTTTCGAATCAGTACCCCAAATCTTAGTATTGTGGAATTAATCTTTCGCCTCGTTTAGCAAATGGTTAAATGAAGGGCCAATGAGAGTTAACCCCTCCTCAGCTTGCCCAACACAAGATTTTGGCTATAAATTGAGTGAACCCCTCATAATTTGCCAAACACAAAAAATGGCAGAAATGTTTACAAATCCATCTAGAGGGATTAAGAGATAACTCATCTCTTTATAAAGAAAGCGGTAGCTATCTCTTTTATTCCCAAACAAAAAAAAATGACCACAAGAGTTAAAATAAACTAACTCAACGAATTAAAAAACTTGACCTTTCAGCTTAACTAATAAGCTAACTATGTTAACACATCTCCTTAATCCCTTATCTTCAACCCTTTGCCAAACGGGGCGACACTTTGAATTAATTCTCCAAATCTTCATACATGTTTTGAGATTAGTCCCGCACCCAGATCTGTCCAACATTTTGAAATTAGTTTCCCTAATATATTTACCTGATGCTAACTAAACGGACTAATTTGAAAAGACTTAAAAAGATTTGAAGGGCTAGTTCAAAATGTTTGAATTTCAAAATAGTTAAAGGATTTGCGGGACTACATGCAAAATATGTATATTTGGGGGACTGATTCAAAATATAAAAGATTAGGGGACTAATGTTGAAAACCCAATATTTTTACATAAACTAGCACCAACAATAGTCTTGTTGATGATGATAAGCACCGAGGTGACCCAACTCTATCTTTCATCATGGAAGGGCTTGAAATAAGTCAAGAGTTAGATTCATTGATTTGTTTCAAATAATTAGATTTTCTCCATTTCTACATTAAATATTATTGTGAAGGAAAAAATAAGCACCAACTAATTTCATTATAAAACAATTTCAACCAATAGAAATTTATCAAGAACATGCTTACCTCCTGAGTCATTTCGTCAAGAACGGGAAGAGCTTCAGACTCAATGAAATTGATCTTGTGCTCAACTCCTGCTCTCTGAATAAAGGGTAATCCTATCTCATAAGCCGACCTATCAGGATCAATCGCCGTTATCTAAAATGAAACAAAATGAGTCAATAAAAACATTACTAGCTACTACAAACTTACAAACCAATTATTTCTGTGAAAAATACCCTTCTAATATTGAAGGAATTCAATAAAATTTTTTTTTGCACCTTTCCATCCTCTGGCAAAGCCAAAGCAGTAGCGAGAAGAGAATAGCCAGTGAAAACCCCGATCTCTATTGTTTTCTTCGCACTCATAAGCTTCAGTAGCATAGAAATGAGAAGCCCCTCTTCAGGGGGCACGCTCATCCCAGCCCTGCGATTCGAAATTACAGAGCTAAGAATAACATTTTTTAATTATATGATTAATCTTACATGAGTGATATTAAGAATCCATCAGTTTCCTAATTCATGGTACTTCGAAGAAACATGGGTGGGTTCATCAAAGAAGAACATCTGAAGCAAAAACATCAAGATTCTTGCCTCTCGTGTACTTTGATAGTCTCCTCTCTCAATCCCTTGAGTTGTTCATGCTCTCTTGGGTATACACTCGTCTTCAATATGTACTGCAATACGCACAAAATCATGATCATCATCAGTAATAGTATTATTATTATTATTATTATTATTATTATTAAGAAGAAGAAGAATATTGAAGAATAACCTCGTGAAGAGCATCACTTTGGAGGAGATTCTTTTGAAGAGATGAACGATCCTTTGAGGTCTCCATTGAGGAGAAGCTTTCGGTGTGTATCAATGAAGATGACGAACCTACCTTATTTATTATGTGACAAAAAAATAAGGGCTTCTTCCTTGACTCATATTTATTTGTTTCTAACCTCGAGATGATCGAACCATTAGGATAAGGACGACCAGGTGATGGTTTATACCCAATTGAGGGTGGACTCCGCTTAGGGGTGCGCGTGTGTCAGACTAGTGTCGGATCTGGCCCAGGCCCGATCGGATCATAGTGGGCTAGTCCTGTTTCCCTGATCTTAGGCCAGGGGCTGGACCCAGCCTGACCCATGACCCATCTAAGATTGGGCCGGGCCTGAACCAGCTGAGGGCCCGTGGGTCATGGGTAGCTGGGCTAAAAACAAGGATATGTCGAGTCGGGCTAGGCTTACTTGGGTTGAGCTTTACACGGGTCGGGCCTAACCCGGGCTCGGTCAAACCGCTTGGTACCGAGTTTAGGCCTTGACCCACCCCAGCACATGGCTCCAGTGAATATCGGGCGAGGTTGGGCTTGGCCTTGTTCGGGCCTGTTCATGGTAGAATACATGTTGGACCTCGTTGCCCCACGGTTCAGCCCAGCCCTTGCCCCACTAACAATCCATCGTGCTCTCACTCTTAAGGTTTGGTTTGGTAGGAGGGAAGTTAGAGTAAGGTGAGAAACAAAGTTAAAAAAACTTCTTTGGTAGAGACTTCTTAGATGGTAAGGTGAAGTAGAGTAAAATAAGGGAGATGATGCAAAATAAATTAGAAAGTAAAGAAAGATAAAATCCCTCCAATTTGAGAGGGCACAATAAGGAGAGAAAAGATGCAAAATGAACTAAAAAGCCATGTACCTCCCCTTACCTCATCTGCAACCAAATAAGAACTACGAAACATATGTCCCCCTTTGCACCTCATTGAACTTTAACTCACATTACATTCCCTCTTTATGCATCCTACCAAACCAAGACAGGGTTATGGGTGGGCGTGGACCAAATAGGCCCGCGGGTCGACTCGACACAACTTGTGATGGGCAACAAACTCTTCCCAGCCCATAATGGCCCGACCCGAGTTATAGCCAGGCCCTGGGTCAGGCTTGATCTAGGCCTCAACCCAGGACCAGAGGACTTGGTCGGGCCCATATATGATCCAACATGGCCTGGCCCTAGGCAGGGCCAGGCCCTAACGTAACATTTTTTGGTCTTTTATGATGTATCAGTGTAATTAGTTTACTAATATGAATGATGTTGCTGCCAAAAATAAATGGTCAATCGAAACGGGTTTACATGGTGTTTGTGAGAATTCCTCAAAGAAACAGAGTTCATATTTGTTTCTGTGGTGTGGTTCACAATGATGTCAGTAAACTATTTTTAGAGTGCCTCAATGAAACAGAGGTCAAGTACCTGTAACAAATCTTGTAATTGTAGTTCATGTTGGAGGTAACGTGTTTGTGTAAATGCCTCAACCACACAGAGAGACATTGTATTGTGGGTTGGAAATTGCAATGTTAAAATCTTGGGTCGACTCTCAACCTGTACCTGTGCCGGCCAAGTTAGACCCGGCCCGGACTAACCCAAGTCGTGGCTAGGCTGGGCACAGAGCCATACCTAATTAATACGTAATTACCAAGTCTAATGATCCAACGGCTATGCACATTTAATGCTACGAATAGCCAAATCAGATCCCTTGAATACTTTCTCCTGCTTAATTAAATGAAATTATTTGATGATCTATGGGCATGGATCACTAGGGAATTTCGGAACTCTTGGCTTATTAGATAGAAAACTTTTCAATAGATTGGATCCGTTGAATACATGATAGATTAAAAGGACACTTATGGGCAGTGGCGTAGCCAGAGCTTGCTTGCCCTAGGCAACCACCCAGGGCAAGAAACTCCGCCTCTCCCACGACCTCTCCCTCCTCCCCTCGCTTCCCCTCCTCTCCCGCCACTTCACCTCCCTCTCCCGCAGATCCAACCTCCTTTCCCTCCTCTCTCCCGCAGATCCAACCTCCTCTCCCTCCTCTTCCAGGACCTACATCTCAACAATCCCCAGCCCTCCTCCCTCTCCCGTGCCTCCATCCTCTCCCTCACGACATACTCGTAGATCACCTTTGTTTTTTGCCCAGGGAAAAAAATAATCCTGGCTACGCCACTGCTTCTGGGTCAGCACACTTATCATGAAAATCACACGTTTTGCACCAATCTGATAGTTCTCATTTGAAACAATTAGAAGATATCATGTCATTTGATGTCTTTAATATAAAATATAAATTCGATGCATTTAGTATAGTCAAGTGTCAATATTTCCCTTCTTATTAGCGGTTTTTTTATATATATTCTGCAATGTATATAAGTATGTGGGGATTCAAATCCTTTTCCAATAGTCGGTAAGTGGAGAGGATAAAATGTTTAATTCAATACATAGATAAAACTGTAGATGTTTTGAGAGAATTAACAAGCACGAATCCAAACTTCAAGCCACATGTAGCTCTGATTGCACAAACAACAACAGTAACAGAGATCAGTACAGGCGCCTGCAGATGGTGAGGCCGTCACCGACTGGGACCTGCGAAATCTCGATGCGAGGATCGGCAGCCAAGGATTTGTTCAGCTCGACCAACGGAACCCTGTACAGCTTTAACGCCGGATGGAGGGACTCGCTCTCCTCCTCTGACGCTGCTACGGTCCCCAACCAGAGAGTGTTGTCGTACGCTATCACTCCTCCGACCTTGACAAGCTTCAGCAGTCGCTCGTGGTACTCGCTGTAATTGTGCTTGTCGGCGTCGACAAATGCAAAGTCGTAGAGTTCTTCTTCTTTCATCTGTTGTATTGACAGATATAGAGCTCAAAATATGGGAAAAGACGTACCAATTTAGAGCTCTCTATGGAAAATTAGGAAACTGCACATGTATGATCACTGTCAAGTATCGACCCAATTATAATTGTATTGATGCAATGGATTTTCAAATGTTACTGAATTTCAATTTGGAAATACATTTCCTATAATAATAAGTACCATATCGAAGCGGCAAGTGTGAGGTGGCTTTCTTGTAACAGATGATGCATGAAATATTCGTTGCATTTATAATTGTAGGACACTAAAAATAACCCCTGAAGCGTTATGCAGGGAGAGGAGATAAGTGTTCTCGGAGTACAATGTAGGTTTTTTTTTATAGTCGAGATCGAACCAAACAGAGACACAACGCTCTCACTTAGGGCCCGTTTGGTTGGTTTATTTTGAAGGGGAAAGCTGCTACAGATGTCCCATCTGTGGCAGCTTTCAGCAACTTTCCCCCTCAAAAACAGGCAACCAAACGGGCCTTTACATTCAAACATTTTAAGATTTAAGATGATCTGACACTTTTAACACCCTCTGCTCTAGTATCAGTTGTACTTTGGTTCTCATGTGTTTCCATTCATATTAAATTCCAACACAATTGTTTTCTCATACGTTCTTGCAAACTCAAAAAACTTGATTGACAAACAAAATATGAAAGTAGGGGTGATATCTTCGCACTCGTAATAAGGCTTGGATTCTTGTGCACTCTCAAAGAGCAGGGCAGAGATCACAACTCCAATCATAATTATGCACTGATATTCAGTAAACTTTCTTAACTGTTAGCATCATGATCACCCAACTAAACAAAACTATATGGAGTTGATTTGACATGTCAATGCCGAGGCCTAATGAGTCAAAATAATCTTTTTTTCCGCTGGCCAACTTTTTTGAGATATAAGCCCAATTATATATAACGTAGTCCAGTTTAGTGAATATGTCCTTAGGACCCCTCGGCGAATACTACCCCCAGCCCCCCCGCCCCCGGCCGCCCCCCAAAAAAAAAGGACATCTCTGATTAGATATATTTGATCATGACAAGCACCAAACTGTGTGCCGTTCGCTAATTCTACAACTTTCATGGCTAAAGTCATCCTTGAAAGAAGTCACAGAATTTGTATCGAATTTAACGAATATCTGTCTTTTCAGTGAATGAAACTTGATGGGTGACATTAGCAGGTGCATGGAAACTGCAGGCAAAATTAATTAAGAACCTATTAGTTTAATTATTAAATGATTTAAAATATAGAAATTTAGAGACATTATGCGCTAAATTACCTCGTGAAGCATTTTATCAAGAACATGAAAAGCTTCTGATTCAATGTATTCGATCTTATGTTCCACCCCTGCTTTTTGAATAAAAGGTAATCCCATCTCGTAGGCTTTTCTATCAGGATCAATAGCAGTTATCTACAAAAAATTGTTAAATGCATATTAAACAAAGTATCAAAAGCACAAAATATTTCTCCCTCTAAAACTACATGTAATCTAATTACTTTCGGGTTAATTGCAAACTATTAAATGAGATGTAGCCACTTCTACTCCATAAACTATTTTATAAGCAGTTACACCCTCTAAACGCATGATGCTATTTCTCCATTCAATTGAGATATCACGTAAGAATCATGTAACAACAACTAAATTTTATCCTCAATTTAGGGAAAGTTAGATATTTCAGCTTAAATAGAGAACAAAGAATAATTTCTTAAAAAATGGCTACAATCTCCAGGTTTAACCATCTATTTTTCTTCTTAAAAAGATAAATTAGAAAAAGGTAAAATAAGAAAACTTTGCACCTTTCCATCCTCTGGCAAAGCCAAAGCAGTAGTGAGGAGGGAATACCCAGTGTAAACCCCAATCTCTATTGTTTTCTTTGCATTCATAAGCTTCAGTAGCATAGAAATGAGAAGCCCCTCTTCAGGGGGTACGCTCATGAAAGACCTGCAAACTCGATATGAATCAAGAACATTTTTTAATTTTATATAATTAATATATAGTCCAACTAAGCGAGGAAAAATGTTCTCTCCAAAAAAAAAAGGAACCGAAAAGTCCTTGCCATGGGTGTTTCTTGTTCTCCTCTCTCAATCCCTTGAGTAGTTTGTGCTCTCTTGGGTACACACTTGTCTTCAGTATGTACTGTAAAATAAAAAAAAAGGAGAAAGAGGGGGGGAAAAACAAATAATGCATTATCATTACCAGAAAATTAAAGAAGAAAAATGAATGAATGAAGACTAACCTCATGAAGGGCATCACTTTGGAGGAGGTTCTTTTGTACGGAAGAAAGTTCGCTTGGGAGTTGAGGTTGCTCCATTGATGAGAGAATATCAATTGGATTGATGATCCTCTGGCCTCTAATATTTGGATATATAAGTTAGGCAAGAAGATCTTTAAAAAGTTCATAAAACAAAGGATTTTTTAACTATATACCCTCCAATTATATATTATTTACAGACTTACTTTACAATTCTGAATATTTGTTGATTAGTGGCAATGATTTAAAATACCTCTCCAGTATGTTTCTTTGCACCGAAGTAATTACTGGCAATGATTTAAACCTATAAGAACTTTGAAATTTTAGAAAACCCCCAAAATATTTTTATTTTTTGCAATTAGACCCCCCAACCCCTAATGACCTCAACACGTATTTTGAGCTCCTAAGCAGAGAATATCACATAAAGTAGTCATTGGAGGTTAAGTGAAAATAATCAAAACACATGGGAGGATTTCTGAAATTCCCAAAATTATTGTGGTTTGGTAAGTTTTTCAAAGTTTTTGTCTGGTTAAGTGCCCGACGCCATAACTTATTGGGGGGGATTTAGCGAAATTTAACCTCAAATTTAACTTCAAATTTCATCTTCAATTGTTTCTTAGCTCTCCTATTGTCCTTCTCTCTTCTTCCTCGATCATTCTCTTTATGTGTATCCTGCATCTATTTCCATGTTAATTTTATTGTAATTGAAAACATAGGTAACTCTTTTTTAACCTTCTTTTAATAAGTCAATCTCCATGCATTCTATATATAGGATTGATGATTGTAAATTTTTAAAGATTTACAGGACTAATATGGAATTATTGTAGATTCGAGGGACAAATATCTAGAAATCCAACTTCATGAAGTAAGGGCAATAATGTCATTTCACTCCTAAGTAAGAGACGACGGATGAAAACGAAAGCTGCTCTAAACACTCTTTTTTATAATATAACTAGTAAGGAAGGCATGCCCGATGCACGTGCCTGCTCCTAGTTGTTGTTGCGTCAACCATCACAAATGATATCCAATGTACAATATTAGCTGATTCCGAAGGAGAAATCAAAATAGGATCAATAATATGTAGACTACAAGCCACATATAAGACACGAACTATATCCAATTAATAGAACTCAGTTGTCAAACAAAACTTGATATTTTCGAAGGACTTCAACTGTCATTTTTTTAATGTAAAAATTAAATTGTTCACAGAGTAAATGCAAAATGTAAAGATTGAAAACAAGAAGGTGATGATCACCATACTTCTGCATCATAATGTGCTTTGTTAAGTGTGTTATTCAAATACAAGAGCAGATCAGCGACGAACACTATTCAAAGTACTCATACATGCATAATTAATATGGATTGCGAACTTATTCTTAATAGTGACCTGTGGATGTCCTTCGTTACAAAACGACCTTAAACATTTAAAGCAAGCAATATACTAATTCGCAAAACCAATCTCCTGAGATCAATGCAGACGCCTGCAGATGGTGAACCCGTCGCCGATCGGTACCTGCGATATCTCGATGCGAGGATCGACAGCCAAGGACTTGTTCAGCTCGATCAAGGCGACCCTGTCGACCATCTCCTGCGGGGGCAGCCCACAATCCTCCTCCGGCCTTGCCACCGACCCTCCCCACAGAGTATTGTCGTAGGCAATCGCTCCTCCGACCCTGACGAGCTTCAGTAGTCTCTCGTGGTACTCGGCGTAGTTCGGCTTGTCGGCGTCAACAAACGCAAAGTCGTATAGATCCTCTTCCTTCGTCTTCAACAATTTTGGATTAAGACAGATAACAGATTGTAAGTGAGTGAGGTGAATGACGAACACCAAAGACAATTATGCAAGAATAATGATGAAAAGTGAAAAGATTGTGCTTTCTCCTGGCTTTCTATGTGTACATAATGTTGGTTTTGGAAGTGTGAGGTGAATGACGAACACCAAAGACAATTATGCAAGAATAATGATGAAAAGTGAAAAGATTGTGCTTTCTCCTGGCTTTCTATGTGTACATAATGTTGGTTTTGGAAGTGTGAAGACCGAAACCTAAAACCAAACTACGAGTCTGGAAATTCTCGGGCCGGTCGACCGATATTGTGACTCCGGTCGACCACAACGACTGTAGGAAAACAACCCATGAACTCACTCTGGCCGGTCGACCGAATCAAGATGGCGGTCAACCGAGAGTGGTCATCCGGTCGACCGAAGGTGATGGTCCGGTCGACCAAAAACGTTCACGAGAAGCTGATTACAAGAATGTGTTCTGGTCGGTCGACCGACACCCATGGTCCAGTCGACCGAAAGTCATTTTTCCAGTTTCCTAAACTGTTTGGGAAACTGTTTTGGGCTGGGATCTTATATATACCTAAACGATTTTAGGGTTATTAGAACACGAGAAAAAGAGGGATTTGAGAGGATTCTGTTGGATAGCAGGTTCCTAATATGTTTCTTAATCTGTTTTGGTAACAGATTATTAGGATTCCTAATCTGTTTTGTTTTTTATTTTAGAATTCCTAGTATGTTTATGATTTTAGGATTTCTATATATATGGAACAATTGGAAGAGAGAATTGAGAAGAAAATTAGGAATATTTGGAGCATAGAAAAGAGATATTTTATGAGCTATTGGTTAGGATTTTATTTGGAGAGAATTAGAGATTTGTTGGTGAGATTAATTGGTGAGTTTGAGTGATTTGTAATATCAGTTTGTATTCTTCTTCTCTATTAGTGAAAAACTCTATCCCCTTCTTGCCCCGTGGATGCAGGCAACTTGCCCAACCACGTTAAAATTGGTTGTTTGTGTTTGTGGCATTGATTTGGTTCGTTTGGCCTTCTCTCGACGTTCGTTTGATTTGATTTTTCGTAGCACGTTGGTTTGGTTGTTTGGCTTCCGCAACGCTCAACAGATTCTTTCAGAGAGATCTCAGAGAGATAAAAACCTATTTGTGGGTATTATAATCTTTTTCAATTAATCAAAAAATTGTGTGGTGTGGCTCCCGAGGACTTAGGCACGTTGCCGAACCTCGTTAAATCTGGTGTGTTCTTTCTTGTTTATCTTTTCTGTAATTTTTTTTATTTACAGTGATTTTCCTACTTGCTAAACTCTTAGCACAAGATCCGGAAGGGCACATGTTCGATTGATTGTTTCAAATCCTCAACAACTGGTATCAGAGCTTCGTTTAGAAGATTTGTGCAAGAACCATGGTAGAGGAAAGCAAATCAAAGATTGAAAACTTTGACGGATCAGACTTCGCCTACTAGAAGTCACAGATGGAAAATTATTTGTACCAGAAGGATCTTTACCGTCCGTTGATGGACAATGCTATATAAGGGAAAGAAGAAGGAGGAATCAGATGAGGAGTGGAAAATATTGGATAAGAAGGCTCTAGGGCAAATCCGGTTGTCGCTCGCCAAATCGGTCACCCATAATCTATTGAAGGAGAAGACGACAGTGGGGCTTATAAAAGCACTCACGAAGATGTACGAGCAACCGTCAGTCACAAATAATATGCATCTCGTCAAAACGCTCTTCAATCTCAAGATGGAAGAATGATGCTCCTTCACAATGTACCTCAGCGAGTTCAACACGATTGTTGATCAACTTATCTTAGTGGACATCATGTTTGATGACGAAGTGCATGCCCTGTTGATTTTATCGTAGTTACCTAATAGTTAGGCAGGTTGCGTGACCTCAGTCAGCAACTCAGCGGGGAAGGAGAAGTTGAAGCTGAGCGAGGTTGTTAGCATGATTCTATCCGAGGAGGTTAGAAGGAAATTGTTCGAATCATAAGTTTCAGATTCAGCCCTAAATCTCGAGCAGAGAGGCTGAAGCCAGAAGAAGGAAAACCAGAACAGGAATCGATCAAAGTCGAAGAAGAAGAGTTCGAACATGAATGTTAGGCCTATCAAATGGAAGTGTTTGAATTGCGACCAGAAGGGTCATATGTCTTCAGTCTGCAAAGCGCCAAAGAATGATGCGAATGAGCAGGAGGCTCATCTAATATATCTTGATCCTTGCTACGGACAACAATTCTGATTTATGGGTAATTGATTCAAGAGTCTCTTTCCATGCCACTGCTAATAGAAAGCTTCTTCATAACTATGTAGCAGGGTACTTTGGGAAAGTATACTTGGAGGATAACGAGCCTTGTAGTATTGTTGGAAGAGGCAACATACAGATTCAGATGAAGGGCTCTATGTGGAATCTAAAGAATGTCAGATACGTACCGAAGCTGAAGAGGAATATTGTTTCGGTTGGCCAGCTTAGAGCAAAAGGCTATGTTTTAATATTCACCGGAGATTCATGGAAAATCTCCAATGGTACTATAGTGGTTGCCCGTGGTAACAAAATAAGAACACTCTACCTTACTTCACATGCTAGTGACACCCTTGCAGTTACAACTAGCAAGGAGAGTGCAGATTTGTAGCACAATAGGCTGGGACACATGAGTGAGAAGGGTATAAAGATTCTACACTCACAGGAAAAGCTAACCGACATCGATTCTGTGGAAGTTGATGTTTGCAAGGACTGCATCTACGGGAAGAAGAAGAGGGTCAGCTTTCAGAAGGGTGGAAGGCCACCTAAAGCCCATAAGCTAGAGCTTGTTCATATAAATTTATGGGGTCCAGCTAACGTGTCTTCTCTTAGCAGTTCGGCGTACTATGTCACCTTTATCGACGATCACTCAAGGAAGGTGTGGGTATACTTCATGAAGCACAAGTCAGAGGTGTTCGATATCTTCAAGAAGTGGAAAATCATGATGGAGAACGAGATAGATTTGAATGTGAAGTGTCTAAGATCGGATAATGGTAGAGAATACGAGCTAGAGGAGTTCAAGAAGTTTTGTTCTCTGAATGAGATTCATTTGGAGATGACTACTCCAGGGACGCCGCAACAGAACGACGTTATAGAAAGGATAAACAGGACATTGATGGAGCGTGCGAGGAGTATACGTTTACATACAGGTCTACCTAAGATGTTTTGGGTGGACACAGTTAATACAATAGCTTATCTGATTAATTATGAGTCATCTGTTCTATTGGATTTTGGGATTCTAGAAGAGGTTTGGAGTGGCAAGAAGGTTAATCTTTCACACTTGCGAGTATTTGGCTGCATAG